GCAGAGCGCGCAGAACTCGGTGAGGGTCGCGAAGCACTCCTTAGTGTCGAGATACCAGAGAAGCCCGGAAGGTAGAGTGCAGCTACTTCATAACATAAAAGTTGCTAATCATCTAGCTCAGCTTCATCGCTCTCCATAGTGTCATACATCCACGAGCAACAACTGAGTTCATTTACCGATACCACAAACCCGATCGTGCACAAATATTCCTTTCCTTCAAATTGGAGTCAAAATCACGCGCAAAAGAAGTTGGGGAGGTCGTTACCACCCTTGAGGCGCAAGATATGAAGGCTTTCGACGTCAGTGACGATGAGATGGCCAAAACGCATGCCCGGTACATGATCGGTGGCTGCCAAAATGTGCCAAATGAACGAATTTTCAGATTTGGTATGTCCATCGTCTGAGAAATGGAAGACCCCCCCCCTTAATTTTGAAGCGCAGAATTCCCGGAAAGACCAGGGGCTCTGCGTAAGTTCCTGGTCGGTTTACATGCGGGTTGGAATATCTCGCTGTTCCATTATCGTAACCATGGCGCAGGTATGTACCTAGGGAACTGCGACAATGGATTAGATGATAACATGACTGTTCAGATCTAAGCAAAGTGCTGGCTGGTGTCCAGGTTCCTCCAGGCGAAACAAGCGAATTTGATCAATTCTTGAGCAATCTTGGATATAACTATGTGGAAGAAACAGAAAATGAGGTGTATAAGCGATATCTAAGGGGCTGACTGGTGGTACATCTTGCATATGATCTGAAGTTACAGAGGGTCGCCCGCTGCCCTTCAAGATACGAGATATCTTGAGTAATAGTATTCCATGACTTGATAAGAGATGCTACGCCAGTGGACACAACAGATAGCAGAACATGATGCTTCAATTCCATCAGCCAGGTTTATAGGAGAACCCAGAACGAGTTGTTCCGATCTATTGCCAATGCAGTACATAAATGTACAACATGGGTCTCGCAGCAGACTCTGCGCTGGCATTCGGAACGGCACGACTCGTCCTGTACATACACCACGTCGCATTGTTCTATTGTGCAATCAACATGAAGTAGCGCAAGGTGTTTGCAAGATAGTCTAGTGCATTTCCACATGAGTGTGACATCTGCTGAAAGATAGTTGTGACATACCCGACATGCCCATGAGAAGGTAGCACATTGGATGACCTATCAGTGCGAGTTGCCCTTTGCCTTCAGGAACATATTGTCCACAATCACGTAAGTTGTAAACGCGACGACAGCGACGCCGAAACCAGGGAAGAGGCTGCTGAACATGGCACGCTTGGAGAAGACTTGGTGTTTCCTCCAGGCCTCCCTCTTCGCCCAAGGATCACGGTAGATAGGAGGACTTGAAGGTGGATTGGCCATCTACAGGAGTATTCAGCAGAGCAGCATAGCACGCTAACGCGAGCACGTACACGGACGAGTATAAAGGAGTCTGTATATGGATGGATCACACCGGAGTCCGGAGCACAGCGCTGGGCGACAGTGTGGGTTTAGGGCAGGCAGTCTGTCACTTCAACATATGGGGCCGAGCGGGAGCCTATAGATGTCTCCCTGAGGTCTTCCGGCATCTTGTCCTTCTCTTCTCTTCTGCCTTTACGCCCAGACACGCTTTCCTGTCCTCCTCGTCATGTCAGGCGATGTGGACATGCTCTCTGAAGACGATAGACCCCTCAGTAGAAAGCCCGGTCCAAGCGGACAGAACGGCCACGTCGCGTCTAATGGCCACGGTCTTCTGCCCGAAGAGTCGTCCATGAGCGAGGACGACGAGATGCCCCTTGTGTGTTCAGTCATTTGAGTTCCGTGGCGCATTGCTCACGGATTCGATTTCGTCTCTCGCGTATAGTCCCAGATTTCCCGTGTAAAATCTGAACCCATGACTCCAGTGCGCGCCATCAAGCGCAAGAAGATTCAGTCTGACAATTCTTCTAGTGGCGAGGATGCTCCACTAGCGTCGTCGCCCGCGAAACGCGCCGTTTCCGGTGCTGTTCGAATGAACGGTGCGCTCGAGGCGACTACGACGACGACCAACGGGAAGAAACCCGCCAGGAAAGCTGTGAATTCAGATGCTGATGACGACGTGCCCGTGACGAAGGGCAAACGAGCTACGGATGGCAACGGCAATGGCGCACGCCCGCCAGCGCGGAAGAGGGTCAAGCAGGAGCGGCGAGAATCTTCACTGAATAGCGAGTCGGATGACGACAAGCCTATTAGAAAGGTGCCATCCAAGGCTAAACGAAAGGTCAAAAAGGAGGAAAGCGATGCGGACGACGAGAGCCCTTCGGACGACAACAAGCCTATAAAGAATGCCTCTCCTAAAGCCGCAGCGAAAAGAGGTCAAAAGGAAAAGGAAAGCTCAGGAACGCCTGCGCCGAAAAAGAAAAAAGCTACTAAAGTTAAGGACGAGGAGGGTGACGCTGCCCCCAAGAGGGGGAAGAAGAAGGAGGAAGACGATGAAGAAGTCTTCCGCTGGTGGGAACAGCAGGATCCCGATGGTGATGGTACGCAGAAATGGCAGACTTTGGAGCACAACGGGGTTTACTTTCCACCACCCTATGAGCCGCTTCCTTCTAACGTGAAGATGAGATACGATGGTGCGTAGTGATTCAGCTGCGGTGTCCTGTGACTGCTGCTTATTTTCTCCGCCTTCAGGCAAACCCGTCAACCTCCCTCCTGCTTCAGAGGAAGTTGCCGGCTTCTATGCCGCTCTTCTCGAATCTGACCATGCGAAGGATAAGACCTTCAACAAGAATTTCTTCGACGACTGGAAGAATATACTACAGAAGCACCCACCGGTTCGTATCCTTTGTTTTGTCAGTAATGTACAAACCTAACGTTCATACTCCTCTAGCGAGATGGAACGAAAATCGTTGAGTTCCTGCGATGCGATTTCCGACCAATGTTCGAGTATTTTGAGGCGGAGAAAGCGAAGAAGAAGGCCATGACTTCTGCCGAAAAGAAAGAAGCCAAGGTCGCGAAAGATGCTCTTGAGGCACCTTATACTCATTGTGTCCTCGATGGTCGTAAGGAGAAGGTGGGCAACTTCCGAGTGGAACCTCCAGGTTTGTTCAGAGGTCGTGGCGATCATCCTAAGAAGGGTGCATTGAAGGTAGTAATATATAATCGTGGGTGTTGTATGGTGGCGTTAATGTGCGGATTCTTTAGTTGCGTGTGCGACCCGAAGATATCACCATAAACATTGGCGAAGGCATCCCTACTCCGAAGCCGAACGTCCCTGGTAAATGGAAGGACGTTATGCACGACAACACTGTGACATGGCTCGCTACTTGGACTGAGAATGTTAATGGCAATCATAAGTATGTATTCCTCGCTGCAGGAAGTTCGATCAAGGGGCAAAGTGACATGCAGAAATTCGAGAAAGCCAGAGAGTTGAAGGTTCGTGGCGGTTTCGTGAGACGTGGGTTTGATTATAAATACCATTTTCAGAACCATGTAGATCGCATTCGAAAAGATTACACTGCAGATCTGAAGAGCAAGCTCATGGCTGACCGGCAGAGAGCCACGGCTATGTATTTCATCGATCGGCTAGCTCTTCGAGCGGGTAATGAGAAAGGCGAGGACGAGGCCGACACTGTCGGCTGTTGCTCGCTTCGATGCGAACATGTGACGCTGCAACCTCCAAATCAACTCGTATTCGACTTCTTGGGTAAAGATTCAATTCGCTACTACAACCAAGTTACGGTAGACGACCAGGTCTACAAGAACATCCGCATATGCAAGGATGGCAAGAACGACGACGATAATTTATTCGACCGCGTCAGCGTAAGCTTATATGGCATGAGGTCTCGTGGCGGGGAGCTGAGCACGCCATGAACAGACATCAAGCTTGAATAAGCACTTGGCGTCGTACATGAAAGGTCTCACAGCGAAGGTGTTCCGTACATACAATGCCTCGATAACTTTCCAAGAGCAACTCGATCAGGGTACGCCAGAGAAGGGAACCGTGCAAGAGAAGCTCAACGCGTATAATCACGCCAATCGTATGGTTGCTATCTTGTGTAACCATCAAAGGGCGGTCCCGAAGACACACGAGCAATCCATGGGTAAAATGCGCGAGAAGGTATATATTTCTGCTTGATGAGGATAGAACGTCTGACCACTTTCAAATTTTTATAGCTGCGAGGCTTTAAGTACGAGCGCATGAAATTACGGCACGCGTTGTTTGCTATCGATGCTAAGTATAAGAAGAAGCAGAAGTACGCGGAGGATGAGTCGGACCTTGACGATGACGGGGTAGCGGAGCACGAAGACTCCATGAAGGCGAAGGAGATAGAAAAGGCGGAGAAGAAGTTCCAGAAAGACAACGAAAAGGCCGCTGAGGAAGGCAAGGAGCCGTTGGAAGATTCTGTCCTAAAAGATAAGCGGAAAGAAATTGAAGAAGAGTTTAAGAGACTCAAGAAAGAACGTGGCACGAGAAAAGCTGTCCTCAAGAGAGAGCGACCAGCTGAGAAGATTGAAGAGGCGATAGAAAAGTTAGACGACAAGATGAAGACTTTCAAGCTCCAGATGGAGGACCGTGAAGCGGGCAAGGAGGTAGCGCTGGGAACGAGGTACGTCGTTGTCGCCGTCTGCTTCCGCGATGTCTGCTGATCCCTCCGATCGCAGTAAAATCAACTACCTCGACCCAAGGTATGCAGCTCGCTCCGAGATTCCTTACAAGCTCGTCTGATGGCCCTTGCAGAATCACAGCCGCGTGGTGCAAGACCCATGAAGTACCAATCGAGAAGATCTTCTCCAAAACCCTTCTTACGAAATGTATGTGACACATCGTTCTGTTCGCCCGTAGGATGCTCACGGCCGCATGCAGTCCCATGGGCCATGGAGGTCGATGGAGAGTGGAAGTTCTGAATTCTAAACGCCACTGAGGGAGTCCGCCATCTGCCTGCTGCATTAACTTGGGGCTCATTTTTATTCTCGTCGTCATCCACGGACGTGTTGTTCTAGCCATATTACTGTCTCCTGCATTGCATCGCTGTATCTGTTGTCCTGCTCATTGTGCCTGTCCACGCCTTAGAGGCCTCGTATCTTGCAATATGATGTATTTTCCCGGACATGCTGCCTGCGAATTGTCGTGTGCCAGAGCGAGTCTGCGCCCTACGGGACTGATTAAACATGGGACGACATGAAAATGCGTTTTCACGTGCACTGCCTGCATACGTGACACTCCTGGTGGCGCAGCTCAAATCCCTCCTCAGTCGCTTGCCACAACTTCTTCGCTCTTTTCTACCAGGCATGAGTACCACACTTCAGCCCAGCCGCCCGTCGTGGGCGTCCAAGTCTGCATTCGATGCACTGGCAGTGGAATCAGGAGAGGAGAGTGAGGATGAGCTCTTCGATGAGCCAGCTCCGGTGTCCGCGACGGAGAGGTATGCGGTGGTACTTGTCGTCGCGTGTTCTCCGTTGACGCTGCTCTGGCAGTGGATCAGAGTCAATGTCGAAACCTTCAAAGTCGGCGCTGAAAAAGGCCAAGGAGGTCGCGCGGCTTGAGCGACAGCAACAGCGCAAGGCGGCAGCGCGTGCAGCCAAGGCACAGAGTGTAGGGTTGTCGCCATCGCCAGCGCAAGTTCCTACCGCAGATACTCCCGCGACGACCCCCAAGTCCTCCGCGCAGGCCGCTGACGCAGAGCCTGCAGAACCCTCGCATACAGAGCTGCCAGCGAAAGGCGCTGATGAGGAGCCATCCCCAGACAAGCCGTATACGAACGGTACTGCACACCTACAAGTGGATGCCACGCCAGCCCCTCCAAAGTCTCCACCCATGTCTCAAGTGGCATCTGCCGCAAAGCCGTCACCGCCAGCATCAGTTGACCCTCCGCCAGAATTGAAGCCAGCTCCTATCGAGAAGCCAGCAACTCCCAGCCCGCCCAAGTCTGCGAACAGTGAGGCGAAGGTTTCCAATGGCCATGTAGATTCAGGTGCTCTCAAACAGCAGGAGGCTCTACTAGATGGTGAGCAGGTGAAGAAACGGCGGAATATCTTGACAAGGACATTATGGACGTTCATAATGATCGGCGGGTTCTTGAGTGCGCAAGTCTCTCGACAATTCCTGCAGTATGGCTAACATCCTCCAGTGCTCCTGCTCATGGGACACGCATATATGATTATGCTTGTGCTATTGTGTCAAACGCTCGTATATCGCGAAGTTACATCGCTGTTCTCGCTCAAGCGGAAAGATTCAGGAGAGACACGGTCAAGAGGGCGTGATCCGTGGAGCAAGACGTTGAACTGGTACTTCTTTGTTGTCACGAACTACTTCTTGTACGGTGAGAGCATCATATATTACTTCAAGGTGCGTTTGCATATGTGCGCAACATGAGTATGAGTGCTGCAAGGACCTGATCGAAGTATAGCATGTAGTTTTCGCCGACGCGCAACTGACTCTATTTGCGACCAATCACCGAATGGTCAGCTTCACGTTGTATACCATTGGTTTCATGGGATTCGTCATGTCTCTGCAACGCGGATATCTCAAGCAGCAATTCGGGTTGTTCTGCTGGGTGCATATGACCCTGCTGCTCGTTGTCGTCTCCAGGTTAGTAGTGCGGTCTATGCCACGTAGATGTACTGACCGGCGCGACGCTAGTCATTTTATCATGAACAACATTCTCGAGGGCATGATCTGGTTTTGGGTACCTGCTTCTTTGGTGATCTGCAATGACGTATTCGCCTACATTTGGGGAATGTCAGTAGGACGCACCCCGCTCATCAAGCTGTCCCCTAAGAAGACAGTCGAAGGCTTCGTGGGTGCGTTCTTCAGCACAGTCGTTTTTGGTGTCCTGTGGGGCACGTATTTCATGCGGTTCGACTACATGATCTGCCCTGTACACGACCTTGGAGTCAGTGCCTGGAGCGAAACTGCTCGCTGCGACCCGAATCCGGTGTTTGTCTGGAGGGACTGGGCGATTCCGGCACCCATGGGGGCCTTCCTGACTACTCTGGTGAGCATCCATCGCTAGTGCCTATCGATTTGCCAGCTTAGAGGTCATTTCAGCTGGGTCGAGAGATTACGACTATCTCGTACGCGCCATATCAATATCACCTGCTCTTCATGTCGTGTTTCGCATCACTGGTCGCACCCTTCGGCGGCTTCTTTGCGTCTGGCTTCAAGCGAGCTTTCAATATCAAGGACTTTGGACACAGCATTCCCGGGCACGGAGGCATGACGGATCGCATGGACTGCCAGTATGTGATTTCTCCTCTGCCTACCAGGCTGATCGCCAGCAATCTTGCTGATATATCTTCTCGCAGGTTCCTCATGGGCGTTTTCACCTATGTCTATTACAGCAGCCTCATCCGGCAAAACAACGTCTCCGTCGGTTCGCTACTCCAGATGATCGTGAGCGGGCTCACGCCCGGTCAGCAGCTCGAGCTCATGGGGGATCTTAAGAGATACCTGGAAGGGCAAGGGATTGTCGTAAACATATGATCCCAGGCTTTGTCCGATTCAGAGCACGTCCGTGAGCTGGCTTATTGGCCGGCAAGAAAAGCTACAGTACTCTAGGTGCAGATACGCGCTCTGCGCGGAGGAGTATGCACGTCTAGTTCTTGGTTATAATACCTATTATCGACTAATATGCCTCGTGCTGTGCTCGCATCGTGTCATGCATTCATATACTCCGTACAAGCAATGTTATTGAGTTTTAGGCTTCAAAATCATTGCCCCCGCTACTGAATCCGATTGGGAACAAGATGTCAGAAACAGGCATCAGTAGCAACTTTCTTCAGATTGTTTGGCAGGCAGCACTGTCATACATGCCACATACCAAAAAATGCACATCTCTGTTCAGACTTGTGCGATAAGTAAATGTATGCTGGTAAGTAGTCATTCGGACAACAATGTTCCAGTTTCATTTTTCTGCATATGATTCATCATCAGACTCATAGCGTCTCATAGAGAGTACAGGCATGGTGCACCAGCGAATGCAAATATCGAAACAATAGAAAGGAAAGGAAGTACCCATCGAGCGGCTACTTTATGACCGAGGCTTCTCCTACACAGCGCGAGGATGAGCGCAAGTGAAAACTTTGGAGTAAAAACAGCACGAACCTTCTTCTCCTTCCACAATGCAAGCAGACCGACGCCAGAGACCTTGACGATCTTGAATCGCACACCGGGAATATCACCCTTGGCTTTTCCACGGCGACCGAAACCGGAGATGAGGACCTCGTCGTTATCGTCGACGAAGTTCAGACAGCCGTCATTCTGCAAGCCGCAATTGAGTCGCGGAGTTACGAGAAAAGACTGACAGACGACCGGACGCCTCTGGGTGCAGGCCCGGGTCGCCGAGGCGCGACCCAGACCTGCACCAGGCGCGGTCAGGACGGGAGCGAACACTCACAGGCACGAACGCGGTCACCTTCTTACCATTCTTGATGAGCTGTACTCGCACACACTTCCGGATGGCCGAGTTGGGCTGCTTGGCCTCAACGCCAACCTTCTCGAGCACGATGCCCTTTGCGTGCGACGACCCTCCCGTGGGCGAGGTCTTGTAGATGTTGCCCAACGCGCGCTTTTTGTATGATTTATCCGCCTATGGGGAGGAAAGCGGGTGAGATTGCGGGCTCTAGCGGGACGGAATGCCAAAGGGACGAACCCATCGGTTTTCGCGGCGGTCGTTGCGCAGCTTGCGCGCAGCTTGCAATCCACGGGGTTTGTTTGCTGGCAGGGAGGGGTTAGAAACGTTTTACACACCGCAAAGACAGCAGGAGGGGGACGTACAGCCCATTCTTGAGGATGTGGATGTCGGTAGGTGGAGAGCGAGCCTATGGCGGAGCCCGAAAGTTCATCAGAACTGTTACAGTACATGCCTCCCATTTTCCCAGCACGTGACTGAGCAAATCATTTCGTCGCGCGCAGGGCAATAGGGCGGCCAGGATTGGTCGAGTCGCTCGGTCGCCGTGGACCGTGGATGTGAATTCACATCGCAATCAGTACGAGTGTCCACGCCAGCCAACCTGGAGGGATCAGTGAAATCCAGGTATTGATATTGTACACTTCTGATTATCCGGTACTGTACACACACGCAATATTCATCCCGTACATCATACACCATTATTTAGGTATTACTGCTGACGCGGGCACTAGAAATACGATCCTTCTCCCGCATACGAGCCCCCAGATCGAGGACTTGCAGCATCCGCGAGCGGTGCGTCCGCGTTCTCTCCGTTCTCCTGAGAAAGGTGTAGTTCCTCCGCTTGCCGTTGCACATCCTCTACGGATCCAGGACCAAAGGCCGGCGTCGGTTTCGCGAAGGGTCTAAGAGTCACCGCCGATCTCCCAGTGGGTATAGATGCCTGTAGCTCAGTCTGAGAGGGGACGGGCTGGAACGATACCTATTCCAGCCAGTTTATATGAGATCAGGCACATCGGGCGGAAGAGCAAAACTTACGGTATCGTTCATGTTCTTGTATCCCTTGTAAAACACGTTCACACTCTCCAGCTCCGCGATAACCTTCTCTTTCCTGCGCTCCCGCATGTCCTTGTCCCTGTCTGAGCCAATCACGCCGCTGCCGCTCTTGAGATCCTCAAGGTCTTTCTTCGCCCAGGTCAGGAAACCAACCGCGATGCCGCCCTGTGCCGTTCCCCCGTTCTCTCCGGCGTCTACTCCGAGCCATTTCTGTGCGAGTGCATTATGGAACGCCGCCTCTTCCGCAAGGTACCGTCGCAGCTCCGGTGCGACTTCTTCACCTCCCTCATCCCGCATCGCCTGAGCCTTGTCTTTCCCAAGGGAGATCTTGATCTTAGATTTGGACGAGGGGCGATAGTCCCCGGGTGTCTTCGCCAGTGATCGGGCGGACGAATACAGGGCCGCACATTCAAGGTGTAGCTTCGCGATGAGAACCGGGGACGGGTGTGACTTGGGCAAAGGTGGCCCTGGTGTGAGAGCGCTGTCGGAAGCGGCTCTGGATAACAGCTTGCGGATTGCGAGTGTCTGTGCATCTGCCAGTGCCATTCTGGCCGAGCCACCCATTCACTCAGTCCACTTTGCAACATGTGGGAACAGTGTACATACTTGCTTAGTCCAATTACAACCTCCCTGCTCAAATCTGGGGGTTTCGGACAGGTCATCCCTGCATCAATGACGCGTTCGCGTTCGCGTTCCCACTCTACCAGGCACTCCTTGCCGACGTATTCAAACACCCCGGCAGCTTTGCAGAGCAGGGTCACGGCAAAGCTGAGGCGCTCGTCTTTTGCCTTCCTGTCGGCATCTGATACGGCGCGATCCCTCTCGTACGCGCCAAGAGAATGCACGACGGTGCGAGAGAGGTTAGAGAGGGCGAACGCATAGGTGAGGAGGGTGAAGACGAGCTCGGTAGCGAGTGTCGGAATGGAGAGGCGAGGAGAGTTGTGAAAGATGGAGGAAGAAAGGGTGGTGCGCCAGCTGAAGACTGGAGAGTTATATCGTCGGCGGCACCGATGGCGACGATAGAGATACGCACTGGGTTCGGTCTTTAGGACGAGTTCGCCATGCTCTATGCAACTTAAAATGCCGTACAGGTGCGGCAAGTAGTCGTCGAGAACCTGTGGGGCATGGGTGAGTGGGGCCAAACCAGATGATGTGAAAGCAAACCTTGACGAGTCTGAGGTAGTCTTTGCCTCCGTCGTCCGCGCGTTTGCTCTCCTTGAGGGCGGCGCGGAGGTTTGCGCGGGCCTCTGTGGCCTCTGCGATGTGGGTGATGTAGGTAGCGGCGGGGTCATTTAAGAGGGCAGCGAAGAAGATGGCGCCGGTGGTGGGGAGCTGGTAGGAGTAGGAGGCCATCAGCGAGGACGAGTTTCCCACTGGAATTGCGCGGGGGGTTAGCGGGGATTCGCCGGGAAAGATCTTGATTGCCTTTTGCCTATATAAGGATAGAAGCGCGAAATTAAATGCAGCTCTGCGCCACACGTGCCCAGCTTGGAATTGCAACTTATTCCCCTCCAAAATGCCGTCCCCGAGGTTCCTCTCTCGCCCTCGCGAGCATGGCTTCCCCTTCTCCCGACGCTCCCCCCGACGACCACGCCGTCCCCCATCCCCTCCCCGACCACGACGAGCGACCTACCTTGTGCGACCTGCCCTTCGACGTCTTCTTCGAGCTGCTCAACTATGTGTCCGCCACCGAGATCACCTTTCTCCTCAGCACTTGTCGCACCCTCCACCGATACGTCCATCAGGTCTCCATCTGGCAGCGCCTCTGTGCCCGCTACGGCTTGCGCACAACTCACGGTAGATCGTTCTTCACGACGTACACACAACTGCTGCATCCCTACGGGCCCCTGCTTGGAATATGGGCCAGCGATCATCCATATTACGGGAACATCGTCGAGTTCCGCCTCCTCCCCGACGACCAGAACGCCCCAGGCGGCATAGTCGGGGAAGTTTGGAGATTCCCCACCAGGCAGTTCGATGGCAAGGCGCCATCGTTTCCTGAATATTCTCGCGTTCTCAACATTTCATTCTCCTCTGATTCGCCACTCCCAGGAGCAAACGAAGAGTGCGCAACGCCGGTAGTCACCTCGGTGTGCTGTGGTGCCCCAAACCCCGCCAGGATCACCAAGGACAACACAGATATTCCTTTGCACTCGGCATCCATCGAGATTGTATCTCCTTCCCCTCATGCTTACTTCCTGCAGGAATATCGCAGAACATACATGCATCCAGAATTCCCCGCCGAGGCCGCAGACTGGTACGACACGGAACGCGAGCTCCCTCACGTGCCAAAGTCGACCATCGCGATACAAGACCAGCGTCAGCTGGTCAACATCTACCCCGCCGTCCGCCTCCCGCTCATCTTCACGTCCATCACGGCGCGTACAAAGCCAGCCGCGATCTCCATCCGTTGCCATGTCGCAGGCTGCGAGTCTCTGCAGATGCCGCTGCCCTTTGACGACATGATCACTGCCCCTCCGCGCTACTACCCGCTGAGGCGAGACACCCAGGAGGGCATCGATCCCGATGACGCGGAATGGTCCCTCCAATCCCTCACGGGGCTCTGGCTCGGCGATTATGGGCGGAGCGGGACAGAGTGCCTGCACGTAACCTGGCGCCAAGACTTGGACGAGCTCCGAGCATACAAGCTGACCGGCGATGCCCACGTCCCGCGTGGAGTATGCACTTGGACAGTGATGTCGCAGCCCGCGGAAATGTCGTCTGCTGCACTGCAAAACTCGCACGCTGTTGCACGAGCCTTCCGCGGTGTCGGCACGATCAGCCTGCGCGGTTTCCCGTAAGTTATCTTCAAACCTCGCTGAATGTGCAGTATACTGAGGCTGATGTGACTCTAGGGCCGCGACAGCCGTGGAGCTGGTCGTGGGCATCGTCGGAGCCAACGAGATTCGCATATGGTGGGATCAGGTCAACGACTGGAGGACATATGTCCGATACACGGGCCGCGACCACATCTCATGACACCGAAGTCGGTGCTTTCGCAGGTTATATGTTTCATGTACCTCATATGATAGGCTTCACAACTACCCAGAGATCTCCAGTGACGACAGAATATAAAATGAGTGACTCTTGCGTACATGCGTTACAGAACAACTGGTTCTGCAGATGGTATCACCAAGAAAACTGTTCATGAGCTACAGAATGCGGAACGCTTTGTCCTGCGGACTGCGCAATAAGTTAAGCTGTATTGTAAAATGCGACAAAAAGAATGCAGGGTGATGAACGGCACGATGCCCCAGGGACCGACGCAAAAGGCAAAAATGTGAAGTAGAAATCCATGCATGACAAGCATAACAAACGACCAACGATAACAATGATGGAAACATAGGCAAGGAAACACTACCGCCTCGAACCGAAGCCGAACGCGCTCGATATTTGTCCAAAACTGAGGGTCGCCGGGCTACCTCCTGCGCTTAGCGCATCAGCCACGCTTGGCCGTCGGCGATGCCCCGCCGCAGGCGCGGGTGCGGGTACGGGCGCAAGTGTGGGTGTAGACGCTGCAGGAATCGTTGGACTATTGGTAGGTGTGGCAGTGGTAGACGATGATGACGCTGGGCCAGGCTGGATACCCATCAGTTTCTGCACGATAGCTTGTCTCACCACCGGCGTTCGGTCCTCCCGGTGCGCCTCTGTAGGCGAGCTGGGACCCGAGTACTGCCCGGGCAACGGCGGGTGCGCGGGGCGATGCGAACCACTCGTTCGCACTGCGCTAGTTCGGCGTGAGTCACTGAGGTGGGATGTCGTGGAGGAGTGGCGGAAGTGAATATCGGAGACGGTGAGGGGGATCGAGTCGGTGGGTGACGGGAGCATGTTGGCAGGGTCAGGAAAGAGTCGATCGGGGTCGGACACATCCCGCGGATGTGACGTCAAAGGGATGGAGACAGTCGGTGGGAGGGGGACGGGCTGAAGAGAGATATCTGGAGTGAGTGACGGTTGGCTCGCCGTCGGCCCACCAGCAATCGTCATGGACAGCCCGAGAGACATACGGCGCTCAGGCGGGACTGAGGACCCTGCGCTGGGTGCGCTGCTCGACGTCCCCTGTGATTTGGCAGACTGTCTTGCGGAATTCCGCCCCGACCGCGTCGAATTGGAGCGGGAATTTCGAACGGACCGGTTGCGACTGGCAGAAGCCGACGTCGATCCGGAGGTTGATGATGAGAAGTCTAGGAAGGAAAGTAGACCAGATGACCGTGACGTGCCCACGTCCTTACCCTCGACCACAGACGTATCCGCGCTGCGAGCCAGGGCTTGTTTGAGGGAATATGGGAGCGAGAATGCTCCCGTACTCAGGTACCTCTCCGTCCGACGTTCTGGCCGTCCCTGCTCCTCTGCAAACCCCACCCGTAACGGTGGAACACCCTCTTCCTCATCATCGCCTTCCGCAGGGGGAGTGACAATATGTGAGAGCAGGATACCTTGACTGTTATCACGCCCATGCATATCTCGCGGCCCGCGTGGACGAGGACTTCGTGGTGAAGTGGAAGAAGACAGCTTAGGAAGCGTAGACAATTGCGAACGGAGAGACATGGGCTGGGGCGTGGAAGGGAAAGAGGCCGGGGGGTATTCCAGCGGCGTGGACGACAGCTCGGGAAGATCGATAGAGAAGCTCCCGTCAGAGTTCTGCGAGGCGTGACGCACCCGTTGCGGCGACTTCCCCTTGACAAGCCTTCGTCGTGCAGCTTCATCGTCATCCTCCTCGATCTCCTTCACAGCGTCGTAGTCATGGGAGTGGTCACCGATCTCGAGCACACCTCCCTCTCCGCTACTCCTCACTCTCTCGCCCGCCCACCCGCTATCTTTCTCTGCTGACGTCTGCACCGCTGCTTCACCGTCATGCACACTTGCCGGCCCATGCGAAAACCACTTCCGCCAATTGCTTCGCCAGTAGCTTAGTTGCGGATTGACCATCATCTCCTGCTTTCTTCGTCTTGCATGGCGACGCCACCACATTACTGCGATAAGAACACCGACTATGGCGAACACCGCAAGGGTGACACCGACCGCGAGAGCAGCAATGGTTCCAGGTGACAAGGACGTCGAAGTAGAGGGCGTACTGGGAAGGGATAAGTCAATCGATGAATATGCGACTAGAGCATAGGAACGATCGGAAACATCAAACAAGAATTGAAACATGTTACTTACGGCGTTTCAGGGCTGAACTCAGGTCTTGTAACGTTGACTCCACCCACAAGCACCACCAGGTACTTTCCCTCGTCGACGCTGCCCTGAGCCGGCCCGGCATTCATGATTTCGAGTGAATGTATCACTGTTGGATCGAGCCCTGAGGCATAAAAGAGGATAGTTGGTGACGAGGACGTAAATGATGCGCGGGCGGACAACGCTGGATATAACGTATCGTCGAGCGTTATGTTGTACGTCCCGGACGAGGGCGTGGTGAGCCCCGCCAGCGTCACTGCACTGCCTGTGGTTGAGAAAAAAGACTGCGGTCAGTGAAAACTACTAGGGCATCAGGCATGCAACAAGCGCGTCAATTATATGCGGGGAAAGATAGTGAAACATTCAGCGAACAATTCTTCGTGACAACGCCTTCGAAAAGCGCGCTCATCGTTTACGAAATATTGAATCGAGGCAGGTAGCGCTGCAGGCTCGTACTGCGTGAGAACCCGGCTCGCCGACATACCCAATGTCAGAGAGCACGCGGAGTAAAGGCGGTCGCGGGATCGCATGTAAAGGGGTACGCGAGAGGCCAAGTATATCAGAGTGATAATTGACAGCCACTAACCCTGGGTAGCGCGTAACCCAGAGGGCTAGAGCCTCGAAAACGCGGCGGCAAAAGAGGGTTGTCGCGACGGACGCTGATCACGTAAACAGAGCGGCGCGTCGCGGTCATGATTGCAATCACGGCTCCGGCGGCGATGGCGGATCAATTAAGCTGTACGCACCATTGAACTCGACCCTGGCACTGTCGCCGATGTTCATGCTCGTATGGAATGCCTCTGCTGGATCGCTCGTGAGAAGGTCGGGGGCATAGGTCCATTGTCCGTGGTACGAGATGTTGTCATCAGACACTGTAGTTGTGACAATTGCCGTGGCGGAGGGTGAAACTGACGTAGACGAGGATGAAGGGGTCGCTCGGCTGTGAATAATCAATCAGCGTGAGGCATGAGGAAGAATCGCCAATGTGGTGAACGCATGGGAGCCGGACGGGAAAATGGACGAGAAAGCCAGAGTGGAAGCAACTAGTGAGAAGACCAACAGCTGATACACGAGTGGGGTTGGAATAAAATCGGAGGATAGATGTCGACGTGAGTTGCCCGTGGCTGTGTGAAGACAGAATTTGAAGTGAAGGAGAAAAAAGACTGAAAAGTCGTGCAATACGTCGAAAAGGAAGGCCAAAAAAGAAAATGACGGTTGTCAACCTGTCGCACGGTGCGGGAACGTGTAAACAGACCACACGTTGAGCGAAGGTCGACTGAGCTTCGACAATCAGCTATGTCAATAGGTTCAACGACGGTAAAAATACGACAAGAAAATTAGGAACGAAAAAGATCTACCCTAAAAGACATGATTTCAACAGCACTTACGCCTGCGCCCCATCTATATACACGACGGCACGATCGAACGCGACGGCGGCATCCACATCAGTGGCACTTGCACTAGTCGACGTCCCTGGATTGCGCACAGTGATCACAAGCTCGTGCGGACCATCCGCCAAATTTGAGAATGACGCGAGAACGTCGGTAGCAGCGGTGTTTACGGTCGCGGGGGACGACAGCGACGAGAAGTAGTTGGTAGTTGCATTACCATCGAGAACGACAGTGTACGAGAGTGAGCTGGATGCGGGCGCGGTAACTGTACCATGAATGTCGACTGCCGTGCCTGGAAGACAGGACAAGTTAGCTCAGCAATCTGATTGACGGGGTATGATCCCAGGCCATGCCAAGAAGCCACATATAGAAAATTTTCGCGATTGTCGAAGCTGCCGAAATCACTGCTGATGCCTCCGAACTTGCTGACAACTGACAGTTTGGCTTGAGAGTAGCGATTGCCTGTCAGGCAGCGCTGCACTCACAGACTACAGCTGACTGAAACGTGCAGGACCAGCGACAATAGATGGATGTCTGCTTGGCAGACGCAACGACGGAGGTCCATGCAGCCAACGACGAGGCAACCCAGAGTAACACTCACCATTCCACTTAATAGCAAACTCAGCACCGTCATGCGCTGTGAGATGGAGGCTCGTTCCAGCCCCAACGTTGCTTACACCCGTACCCGTCGACAGGGATCCAGTATTCGACGAGAAGCCCAAATCGGTGTAGTATGGGTTCCATCCAGCAGTGAGGTTGGGCGTGCCATATGTATCAGCGAAGGGCGCATATGCGACGGTCGGTGAGGTATCGTCGATAATGATGGGAAAGACGGGAACTGCCATGCAGGCCCAGGTCTTCACACGCGATCAGCAGATCGCGAAGTCCGCCTGCGGAGAGCTACAGGACGTCCGGGTCGAGGAGCAGGACGAAGGCGAAAGCGAGAGAGACTGTGAGAGCGCAGCGTCGAGGGAAGTCGAAAGCGAGCACATCTGCAGCCGGTTATAGAGCGAAACAGGCTGGCGCTCTGCAGAAGCGTGTTTGATTTCGGGTTGCCACCGCAGGAACGAGGACAAGCGCCCAATCACGTGGGCGCGTTATACGCGCTGTGAATTCGCGAATCGCTACGAACGGGGACAGCTGGGTCGTATGCTGTCTCTGAGATGGCGGGGTGCCGGAACTTGACTCGCCGTTCGACTACGTTATAGGGGCTCCAGCTATGGCCCGCGCCTGACCATAAATACACCCCGGAGGTTCAGAGCGCGCATTCGAGCAGGCTGTGCATGGTAGTCTATCAGTTTCAGTAGGGATTGGAGCAGGTGCAATATGTCAGCCGGAGGAGCAGGGGCTAGCATGCAGCGCGATCTATGGACAAGTTCACCAAACATACCATCTTCGCATTAGTCTTGTGTACGCCACAATCAGCAGCGGTCGTCATCACGCGCCAGAATCAGGAGTCCACGATAGACTCGCAATTCTAGCAACGGTCAGATAGTCTACTCAATAGAACATCCTATGATGTGCACCAAATTGCATGGCCCCGTAATGGTAGACAAATAGAAGAGACAAACAATGTACTCACACTCACGTTGAGTCAGGCTCCACTGACCGTTCCTATCTCCTGGTGGTCTGGTGCCCCGCCAGCATAGCTCCGATCTGATAACACAGCGACGAGCAGATCTCTAGTATTCAATCCGGCTGGGGAAGGCTATATGAAGATCAAGTGACTATACGAGTAGCACCTCGGGCCTCGAGACGCTCCTGGTCTTGGTGACATATTCGGACAGATAGATCCGCGAAAGCGGACCGAACGTCTCTGGGGATGTGCTAGTACGGGCCGAATTGTGTTGGCGCTGGTCTGTCACAACACAACCACCTTCGCTGCGTAGCAACCCGCCACCAGAGAACGCTTTCTATCTACATATAATCAAGCAACCCCGAGGTTTGAGCGGAGCAAGTGGACAAGTGCTTCGTGCGTTTTTGACTCGATTGGCCTGCAGCATGATAAAGAGACGTGTGAGAAGAGACCTTCAATGCAGCTAGTCCTTCGAACATCGCGCGACGGCACATACCAAGCCGCTCCACAGAAATGAATGCTATCACAGACATGGTGTCAACTTGTGGTGCATTACGGCCCACGTCTGGCATTGAACAATAGCCGGTTCCTGGTGGTTTGGATCAACTGGTATCTAGCAACAGCAGACTGAGCAAAATGCATACGTACAAAACGAAACGATGTAACTGGAGAAAGCGGTGTACATCCGAATTCTGCCTTGCTATTGCACTCAGTGCCCTGCTATCAGTCATATTCCACACAAACAATGCTTAATATGGTCTTTGCATATTGGCAGATGCTGAAAATAGATTTTCGATCACTGTATGCGCCTGTTTTTGAGTCAACCGCCTTTTGGTTTGCGGCCAAGCACATACTGGAACCATTCATGGCGCGAGCACAGTGGTTCTCAAGCGAAAGGTGGCGACCATCTCCCCGAGCACGGGAGAGTGCACATAGAATGCTATGCCGGAGCACTATACTCCCATTGTCCTATATCTTTCCCGGATAAGGAGCAGAGCGGGGGGAGATGCTAGAAGCAGTGATAGCCAAGGCACACCAACGCGGATCATATTCCGCTGCGGGTCCACAAATTAAGTAACGAGGGCAGCCGTCTTGACCGACCGAAAGACATAAAGAGTTCGGAGTACGAGTTACGCATATTTTGAAGTGATCAGAACGCCAGCTGTGTGCGCGTATGCGTCTTCCGACGCAAGGTATAGGATAATAGGACATATATCCTGGCGACAGGGGGCAATTTGAAGGAACGCTTCGACGCAGCGTGGGTCCAGTACATCCTGTAGTGTGGGGGGACACGTCGTAGCTGTGAGACAGTAGCGAGACACGTTACTGGAGCAATTGTTCGGGTTGGAGCGAGCTGAACCCGGCCATGCATGCTTGCAGTTGCAATTGCGGAGATCTGGTGCGGCCACGTGACGCCAATCCGTCCGGCAGAAATTCCGGCAGAATTCCAGTAATCCATTGCAAAAGTCAATCGTTCGCGTTCGACCAGGGTTGGCAGAGTCCTTCAGCTATTCCGCTCGTGTTTCGTGCGTCTTTCCCTCCAGCGTTCATCCTGACAGATAGTCGCGCCTCCTCAGTCAGCTGATTCCAAGCACAGCATAGTCCACACTCCAGTCTCCGTCACGGTCGTGCACAACGTCCTCAGCACAAGCCGGAGCCATGGCAAGCACCTACCGTCGCCGCCGCATCGTTTGGTCCTTCATCTTCCTCGCAGGGTGCGCCCTCTTCTACGTAAGCACCCACGACATCTCCTCCTGGTCCATCCCCGCCTCGCTCAAAGACCTCGGCTTCTCCCCGTCGTCCTCCCGCGCCGGTCAGGTTGCCATCGCCAAATTGAAGGACATCGCCCAGCGCCAGCCTGTCGACGAGGTCCAGGGCCTCCTCTACTTCGTCACTCAGTACACCGATCGCAGGCTCGTTGAAGACGACGGGCTCATCGCTGTCGAGGGCCTCGGTCGCGTCGCGGTCGACCCGGAGGACAAAGTCGACCTCCGTGTGTATGCGCCAGATGGGGACGACAAGTGGGAGAGTCACTTGAGGGTGCTGACGGAGGAGTATCCGCTCGTGGTGTTTAGCAAGACCTACTGCCCGTGCGTCGTAGCGTTGCCTTGTTTGCTGAAGCGAATAATTTCATAATTCTACAGGTTCTCCCAGAGAGCAAAAGCTTTGCTCGGAAGCTATGCTATAAACCCTTCTCCATTCGTTGTCGAACTGAACACGCGGTCCGACGGGCCCGTCCTCCAAAAAATTCTAGCCCGAGTGACGGGACGGCGCACTGTCCCAAATGTCCTCCTTCATGTGCGCAAACGTTTGCTGGAAAAATGAGTTGTGATTTCGCTCACGATCCTGGCTCTTCTTACAGGGCAAATCCATCGGTGGATCGGATGATATCCACGCATTACACGAGTCCCACCAGCTGAAGAGAATTCTGGAGGAAGCAGGATTAGAGGTGAATGGACCGGTGGTTGATTCTCAAGCTGATACCATATAATACGTGAGTGTCCGACCGAGTGCTCCATGATGTATGATGAACGAATGACTATGCAGCCGACGCACGTAGTATGTACAAATATTGCTAATGGGATGTTGCTTTGTCTTCCTCTCAATGCCTTTGCACGCACCTGAATGTTCTCGTCGTTTCGTAAGTGGAGTCAAATTGAGTTGCATTTAATCTATATTCAAACCGTGCAAGAATCCTAAGTTTACGAGACCGCGCTACGATGTTGCGACATCGTCATCGTATGGCGGCAGCCCCCACTCCTCAGGTACGAAATTCTCGAGAGAGTTGAGGGTCTGGTCAGGCTGTTCAATGTCCATGGTCGGACCCGACTCTCCCAACGACAGCAAGTTCACGTCAGGGACCCAAACAACTGCAGCGACGCGCACGATCCGGGATTAGTGTTCCCATGTCACTGCAAGCACAAACAGACGTCGCGTACCATTCATACCGGCCCTCTTGCCCGCCTGCACCCCCGGAATCGCATCTTCAAACACAAGTCCCAGCGCTCTCTCCTTACCTTCCTCCGCACTCACCGCACTCTCACCGGCCTCAGCCACCCCGACACGCCGCCCCAAGCACCGCTCCGCCGCGACGAGGAACACGTCCGGGTGCGGCTTCCCGCGGCCGGGCGCGACGAGCCCGTCGTCCGCGCACACGACGCGGCCCGCAAAGCACTCGAAGAGCGCGTCCATGAGGTGCGCACTCTTCTGCACGTAGTTGCGCCGCTGCGAGCCCGTCGCGACCGCGATCGGGACGCCGTGCGCGTGCAGGTGGCGCACGAGGCGCACGGCGCCGGGCAGCGGCTGCACGTACGGCCAGCGCGCGTCCTGCCCCGCGCGCCGGAGCGCGAGGTACGTGTCGATCGTGAAGGAGGGCGGGAGGTCGGGGAAGAAGGCGAGCAGGTGGGCCGCGGCGTCGCGCTCGGCTGCCGGCGCGGGGGTGTGAGCGTGCGGCGGGGCGAGCGGGGGCGGGACGTACGCTTGCCCATGAGGCCGGCTTTGATGTCCCAGGTCATCTCTTTGCCGTACTCTGCGAGGATGGCGTCTGCGCAGCAGGTGGGTGAGATTCTGGGGAACTAGGAGGTGGGGCGCGTACTGGTCACCTCGGTGTACACCCTCTCGGAGTCTATTAGCAGTCCTGTGGGCAGTCATAAGTCGACTTCAGAGCTGGCGTTGTGAAATTGCACGTACCATCCATGTCAAATATGACATATTCAATCTTGGGTCGCGGTTGGGTCATGTTTATCAATTAGTGCGCAAGATCAAGCGATGGATCCGGGCGGCTTGCACGAGCTTAAGTAGGGTAGGGAGAGATGGGCGTGGTCAGGGCCGTGGTGGTCTGTGGACAACCTGTACCGCCCTGTTAGAGGTGTTAAAATTGATAGCATGTCCTAGGCGCCCACTACGTTTCACTCGAGCGAGTGGGGAGATCGTGTTTGATCGAGTGCAATTGCAGGGGCCTCGGCACCCCGCATCGTTATTTTATTTGATCTCACTGGTTCCGCATGGTCGCGGGAAGGAGAATTTTAAAGTATGCATGAGTATGACAGGAATCCTTGTCGATGCGGCGAGCGAGGCCGTCGTCTAGTAGTGGACATTCAGAGACGTAAAGGCGTAAGTAGTGTCCTTGCAGCTAGTGATGATAAATGTAGATAGTGCTAGTATTACACCCATATAGCACCTATGAGTTAAAAGCCCCATGCGGCGGTAAGCGGTCGAGCCTGCGGCCACCAAATTGCGTCAAGCAAAGAGTCCGAAAAAGGCTGCACAGCGGTCCGCGCGCATGAGTCTATAGCTTCTTCTGCTTCTTCTTCGCGCCATAGAGCTCCGCACCGGCACTAGTGACCATGCGCTGGAGCTCACCTCGTCTGCGGAGATCGCGTATCTCCTCTATCGACGCGGTGACGGGCTTGCCGCCGATGAGGAGGATGGGCAACTGCGAACTGGACGTGAGGCGGAAGAGAAGGGGTGTGAGCACGGATTCGTCGGCTGTGCACGCAGAGTTGCGGTTAGCCCCAGCACGGAGAGCGAAGAGTGGACTCACTTCGTAGATCAACGTCGATGATGGTGGGTGCCGGGCGCAAGTACATGTCGGAGAGTATCTGCTTAATCTCTCGGGAAACGGGAGAGTAGAACTTGATGCGGGGGGCAGCAGTCAGTGTGCAATCCGGCGGAAGCAGCAGGAGACGCACCTTTGCATAGAGCAAGACCGGGTTTCGCGCCCACACATCGTCGACGACCCGCTGCATCTCGTCCGCCGCGTCTGACCGCCGTGTGTCAAAGTCGAGCACGAGCTGGGCATCGATCGGCTGCGAAGGGTCGACGGACGACGGGATCACGTTCTGGGGCAGGCTCGCAAGGAAACTCGAGATGGCGGCAAGCTCCTGCGCTGGGTCGAGCTGGATCTGGGGGCCCACCGTGGATTGCTTGCTCTCGTTTCCCAGACTGCCTGCCGCGGTCTTGTGGCGCAAGGCGGCGAGGCGGAAGGACTCGGAGGACAGTCGCCCCGGGATGTGGTGCGGGGCATCTGCGTCGACGCGCTGGATGGGTGAAAGCGACGGCTGGGCGACAAGGAGGACGTAGATGGAGACTATGACGAGGGCGGAGAGGGCAAAGAAGGTGGTGCGATACCAGTAGATTTTGGGCTTGCGCGACGAGAGGGAGGAGAGGGCGGCGAGGCTGAGCGGCGGCAAGGACGAGTCGAGGGAGCTGGCACGGCTGTCCATGACCGGGAATCGCGCGGACTGAGTGCGGCGGTGCGCCATGGGGATTAAATAAAAAGATCAGAGAGCAGCGCCTAGATGAAGCAGAACAAAGGAATGTCGGGGCAGGGCGTCCTCTCTCGGATTACTCTCCATGTTCTCCTCGGCCTGTGGTTGACACTCTGCCGAGCAGAACACCCCACGTGCTGACATCTCCGCATATGGGTTATTCATTCCCTTTTCGGGACATGTGGAGCCGAAATGCTCCTCATAATGTGCGCCATCTCGGTTCCTCGAACTTACTCCGTCCTCCGTGATGCAGCCTATTTCAACGTGGAGGGTGTCTCCTCTCTTCCATTCATACAACCGTAATGCGATAAAGCCTGTCACTTTCCATGACAAGCCACACCCCACCTGTTCAAACCAGGCCTATCCTATCGACATTCGCAGCGCATGCGAATGGGAAGGCCGCCAGATCGATATCATCTCGGCCCTGAGGCCTGAGCGCATCAACTATGCAGTCGTGTCTGGACACACCTTTGGCACGCATCGTGGACAATAAAGAAATCTCCGTTGTCTTCCAACGGAAGGGCATTGCCAAATGCCAACTGGATAAGGTAAACCTTTCCCCACTGCTAGCCACTTCTTTGTAGTGACCGACTCGCAAATTTCGCCAAATGATCGCCGACGGTACATCTGGATTATTGCTTACTTACAATCATCACCGTCGGGTCACTTGAGCACAAGTAGCGTGCAAAGGCTTTCGAGCACGAAAAGACCTCATATATCAATATACAACGGTGCGTATGGCATGCACGACAATTTATGCGTTTCGAATTTCACGCAACATTTGGTGAGCCCTCGCAGGCCTGTCTACTCTCTCCGCAATTGTATACATCACTTTCACGACCACGGGTCTCGGACCTCCCCACACATCTCGTTCGGCAGCGCGTGTACGACCAACGCGGACGCGACACTCGAGGGATTCGTCGTTTCTGTCCGACCTCCAGCTATATGCAGTGAGCTCGACGTGGTGGTTGAGGTTGCGAAGCAGGCCTTGTTGGGTGGCGGAGCCGTCCGACCCTGATCAGTGCATAGACAGGGCAGTGCTGCTACTTTCTCGGATACGCATACGCTACAGTGCCGAGGAATGGTGTAGCACACTAAGCAGGGGAAGAATCTGACATTCAGGCTGGTCTCACACATCTAGACCAGGAGGGCTCCCAACCTTGCCAAAATTCACCGCGCAAATGAACACAAAACACTCGATGGTGGTAACCAACTCGCCTTGTTGAATGAATTCGATTAAGTGCTATAATTGTGGATGTATAGTGCGGAGTTGGTGTCAAAGACTATGTGCGGGACTCATTAACATACTGCATGAGCAAAGTTCAGGATTATAACAGTGTACTCTTTCACGATCAAAATGTAATCCGCCAATGCAACTACACATCTGCCAGGATCTCGACAAGAACGTCCTTGACCGTCCTGCGCTCCCACTCAACTCCAGCACCCAGAGTGCCCTCCGTACTGAGTGCATGGGTATCAACAGCCGGCCACATCACACTCCCCGTAATCTCGTCGTCCGGACCGCTCCTCACACTGAGACGATGCGACACCACTCGCGGGAACACCCTCGCGACGTCCACCTCCGACACGTCCCATACCTCCGTCGACTGTGGCAGCGCAGGAGCCGGAATCTCAATGTACTCCTCGTCCGGGCTCGTTGGTCCACTGAAGGGCAAGTCCACCCTCATCGGGACCTGCCTCTCGTCCTCTGCACCGGCAATGCTGCTCTCTCCGTCCTTCGACGCCTTACCACCCCCTGCCCAGTCCGTCTCGATCACGTCTTTCTCCCACGTTGAGTACGTGCTGCGCCTTCCGCTGCCGCTGCCACGGGTCGAGGTGCCGTCCGCTGCGCTGGTCAGCCCCGCCTTCGCCTCCAGCTCTAGGATCGCCGCCTCTTGGATGAGCGCCGTGCCGGTCGAGTCGCCCGCGATGACGCGGAAAGCACGCATGAGGGCCTCCGCATCTATGCGTGCGCGGTGAGTGAGGAGCGTGCCGTCCAGCTCAGGATGGTGTCGAGTCGCGGAGAAGAGATCACGGAGGTACAGCTCCAGCGAGGGATGGATCACGGTGCGTGCCTGTGCGTGGGGAGTGGGCGCCGGACCTGCCAGTGCTCGCAGTGCAGCCAGTCCGGAAGGCGAGACTGAAGGTGGAGGTAGCAGGGGGTGTGTTTGCGAGCTGAGGGAAATCGTGCGGAATGCGGGCGAGCGCAGCGGCAGTGGTGTGGCAGGTGAGGCGGGACTACTCTCTGTGTGTGGCAGTGAAGGTGCTGTCGGGAAGGGCGATGAGTGGGGCGTAGCATTAGGTGTTCCTCGATACGCTGCATACGCCTGACGAGTCGTGGGGGCAATTGTGATGTCTACGCTCATGGAGAATTTATCTACCTGCAAAATACAAATAAAATTAGTCGCATTGCAAGCACGAGAGATCAAGTGACGGTGCACTCACCAAACCGCGGAGGACGCTAGGACGCTCTCGCGAGTCTGCCTTGCAGACGTACACCATCAGAAAGTCGCTTGGGATGTTCCACGTTCCGCCTTGAGCATCATTGATGATATCTTCATCCAACACCAGTCTTCTCTCGGACAATACCCGCAACAACGCTCGCTGTGCAGGGAGCGCAGCATGTTCTAGTCCCGACACTACGACAGCCTTAGCTAGGGGCGGAAGTGGGCGAAAATAATCCAACTCCTCGCTACCGATCTCGGACAACTCTCTACGCAGTTCCATGGCCGCTGGAGCCGTTGCAGGAAATTCGTCCGGAGATGCAAACATACCGAGCGAGAGACTCAACGGAAGCGGGTCCGTGCGCATACGCTCCAAATGTATTCGACGCGAGCGCAAAGTAGATGAGGGAGTAGGTGCTGACGCGGAAATCAGTGGCCGCCTGGACGACGCCAAAGACGATCCGTCGAAAAAGTAGTCCGTACTTCCGTCGTCTAACCGTTCTTGCTCGATGGATTGCGACAGTCGAAGAGGAGATGGTCGTGGGGTTTGTGACAATGAACGCCGATGAGCGTGAGTGGGCGACCGTCCTCTGCTTCCTCCTCGAGGTGTTGTCTCAGTGCTATGTCGCGCAGAGGTTGAAGACGATGGTCTGCGGAAGAAAAGAGCGCGGAGAAATGCGTCCGGGGACATCGAGTGATCTATAGGGACCCTGGCACGTTTATGTTTCGCAAATTGAACTGGTTTGGGGGCGATCTTGTGTTTGTGCGTGGGGATACCAAAGACAGTCGTTAAGGTCTGATAATAGACACGGGTAAGCCAGTTGAATTGGAACCCTCACGTTAGGAGACTACAAAGCCGTCGATAGGACCTGACAGCATCGCCCCTGCTCGTCAGTCTGTGTGGCTCTAGTTAGGACTCCAGTCACATCCAACCACAGGTGGGATGTGGCAGGAGTCCCGTGCTACAGAGCAACACATAGACACTGCTAGGGCGAGTAAGAGATTGTCCACCGAATGTAGCCTCGTCGCTCACCTATATGTCGTACTCACCAAGCTGACCAAATGAACAAGCATGGCAACATCCTCTTCCCTAGTCCGCAGTATCAGGTAGGCACATGTTGCCGCTGTGTCCGTGGATGCGTTTCCTAGTGCATCCTTATCTATGTCTTCAGCGTGTTTAGCAGATGACGCGAATGAAGTCGGTATGCGCGCAGTGAGACAAAGGAGGAGCGACTGTAGTACCACGGAGTCGAGAGGGAGGGATGGGTGGACAGCGCGTACATGGGCCAGTAGGCTTGGAAAATATGAATGTGTACCAGGAGAAGTAATAGCTGGAAAGCCGGACATGTTAGAAGTGGCTATCGATGGTCTTCTCCAGAGTACTTCGGATGATAGTGTAGTCAGAGTATGCTGTTCAGAAGTCTCCCAGTGAAGTAATCAGAACGTCGGCAAAGTGAAATGCGATTTGACGATGGTATCGACATCAGTTTTGCTATAACAGCGCATATAGTGGAGTCTTGAACAACTGGTTACGGCTGAGTGACTCGTAGGTTGTGGTCCTGCGGCAGGACTCCTGCCTCAGGCCCTCAGCTGAGGCTGAGCTAGGCTTGCAATTGAATCGGGATCGGGATTTGCCGCACTCGTATATGAATGAGGCTCATATTTTTGCTCATAGTCTCACCAGCACGAAGCTTGTATGTGGCACAGTTCATCTACTAGAGGGCGGCAGCTTGCCGGCAGTATATCGTTCGTTAGCAATACATATCGACTCGCTATGCAACTAAGCTGAGCCTGTTCTAGAGCAACTTGGATCGAGATTGACTTCTCTCTGCGGATTGCCCTAAGATTATTGTCTGTACCAACTATTCCACTGGCTTACTCTGTTCGTCTCATGCGACTGACAATGTCCTGATTGTATACGAAAGCTTGAAGTTGTCTTATATGTCCGATGAGCTGGCAGGGACTTGACTCTAACTCCGAGCCATTAACGAGAGGACTGGGCTTCAACATACAACATGATGAAGTGGCAAGTAGTGTCTTCCCATTTTCGAATTGAGTGAATTCACACATCTTTTATTGCAGGCCAGTTCTGTAAGCAAACGCACGATAGTCTCCCAATGGCAGATTAAATACCGTGACTTTGCTCCAACCTATACAGTCCTGTGCATTGCCAACAAGCATGCAAATAGTCTTAGTAGGTGGCTTTACTTACTAGTGACCTTGAATGATGGTCTCTCCAATGCAACTCAGGTATTGTTTCTCATTGCTTTGTGGGATCAAAGAATCCAGATTTTCCGAGCTACGCAGGCTGCGCAATGCGCGTGCGTGCGCGCCACCTTGGTATGTACGCGTTATTTGGTTGCAATCGATCAGGTGGTTAGGACTGCGGCGGCATCACCAAATAGGCAGCAACAAGAAGTGCTACGTGTCGAGCAACGTGTCGACATCGATTCTTTACGACTACACGTACGTCCTGCACACCGACCGCAGTAGGTTCCATTCATACAAGATCCCGCCTCTATCTTGTCCTCTCTCCTCGTACCTCCACGTTCAGCCATGAAGCGACCAGCAGACTCGGAACTCACCCTTCCTTCCCCTGCCGAATCATCACAATCGCCAGCACCCTCTTTCGATGAGTCACCCACCCCTGGTCCATCACGTAAACGCTCTCGCAATGACACCAGCCCCGAAGAGCGTAAGGAGGCTCGCGCGCATCGTAACCGAATCGCTGCGCAGAATTCGCGCGACAGACGCAAGGCACAATTCACCTACCTTGAGAGTCGTGTTGCCGAACTAGAAGAGGAGAATCGACAACTTCGTGCAGGTATGGGTCTTATGGGACTCCGCCGTGTAGAGGAGGACAGAGCGGAAGAACAAAGGGAGAAGGATAAAGCGAAGGAGAAGGAGAACGAAGAACTACGGCAGCGAGTCAAGACTCTTGAGACTGGCTGGGACGCTGTTGTCAAAGCTCTTGCTGCCTCCGGGCTACCACTAAACCTGCCGTCTGCCCCTGGGCCGTCATCTTCATCAACGCCGCCCCCATCATCGCCACAGCCACCAACAACTTCGTTTCCAGTCTTCATCCCGCCAACCCCCGCCTCCATCTTCCCAAACTCCCCGCCTCCCTCCGCATCCCCCACTCTGAGTTCGGGCACCCCATACAACCATGACTTTGACGACTCTGCGCCCACTCGCCACCTAGCACGGGTGGCGACCACCGATGCCCCTCATTTATCTTCGGTGTCCCTGCAGCGGGTGAGCCAGAATCATCGTCAAGTCCCAACATCCTTCCGCTCCAGCTCGATCTCGACATTCCTCCTTTCTCCTCTTATTTCCCGCCAATCACCACGTCTGGCCAAGAACAGCCTGTCTCGGCAGTCGACGAAGTTG